CTTGTTTAGCTGTATAAATTCACCATTTACATGAGATTTGACTTCCTCCTTTTACATTCAACGGCCTGATCTTCAGTGATATCAGAAAATAATAAGGTAATAGGCAAATGTATTTACACTTGAAACTATTCTTGCTACTTTAGGTATTGCTTATCAAAATCCTCTGATATTTCAGCACTATTTTCTGTGCCACTTTGTGATCTAGGGACAGTTTACTGGTGGCTGTGAAACAGTGTGGAACACGCTGGCAGTGTTCAGTCAGGACTGGAGAGTGTGTCATAGAAAACCTGCCCCATTCATGGACCTGGAATCTTCCTTCCAAATCGCCATGAAATTGGGCACAAAAAGTCCTGTTACAGAACACCTTTTCAATGCATTTCTCTCTGTTTTTAGGATAAAAAACCGTGGCATTCTGTGAAACACAAACTTCTTAACTGAGTGAAAACTGTTCAAAGAAAGTTTAACAAGAGTTCTGCCACTTTTTCTTGTTTTTTTGCTGCAGATTTGGGTTTGTTCCATCCCAGTGCCTCTTGAACCTGCTTTGATGTGAGCAGGTAGGTTTGGGTCAGTGCCCTCAGTCCTCTTAATCCAGAATGTGCTGGCTCTGGTTTGTCCAGCCCCCCAAAAATTAATTAATTGTTTAGCCTTTAGCTGGGAATGTTGCACTTCCAGTCTCCCAGGGAAATGTTGTTATAAATATAATAATGGCATAATTATTGCAGTGAACCATTGCACAGCAGCAGACGTGGGGCACACACCAGCAGCTCCTATTGGGCTTTTCACTGACACAGTCCAGACAAACACATCAGAGATAACCCACAGCTGCACAAAAGCATGAACCACTTGTATTTCTGAAATGCTTTCCGTGGTACAGCTAGTTCTGTAATGCTGAGAACCAGTTATTTGAGAGGTTATGATTTTTTGATCATTTGTGAGCTGAAGCAGTTGGGGACGTTCCTGTAGTCATCCTGTCTGTTAGGAGGCATTTCACACTCTGCTCTGTGCCCTCACTGCAGACTGGCTGCACGGTTTTGCAATGTATGCTCTGGCTTACTCACCACACTTGTGGTTTTACAAATCAGTTCGTTAACAGAAACAGCCTTGATTTTCTTCTTTTGGTTGGGGTTGGTTTTTGTGTTCTGAGCTGGTTGGTTGTTTTTCCCAGGAGCTTCCTATGTGATCTTAGATGGGCCCCTTGAGATCCTATTCGGAGTCATAGCTCAAGTGTTAAATTCCCATGAGCTGATGCCTCTATGGGTCTGGTTTTTACCCTCTGGTGATGTCATTTATCAGTCTTTAAATGGGAATAGCAGCGATGTTAACCCTCAGGGAGGTGTCATTAAGGCAAACACATTCCTGACCCAAAGGGACCGGGATGAGGTGCTGGGATTGTATGAGCAGACAGGTCTGCACTGAATGGGGCCATAGTTTGTGTTCCTCACTAAGGGGGGCAGAGTGAAATACCTTAAAAACAAGGAGCCAGAGCTGTGTTTGGAAGTGCTGAGGTTTCACATGCTAAGCTGGGAAGCGGGAATGCTGCTCCTGGGACAGCCAGGTGCCACAGTCCTTCCCAGGCACAGGGATGGTGAGAGTTCTTAGATAAAATTGTGCGCTTTTTTGTTTGTTTTTAAAGCTGCAGAAGTGAGTCATCAGTTCTGTTTGCAAGTCTGGGGTGCTGAGCAGAGTGTGTCCCTGAGGAATGGCTCCCTGCTCTGTGGTTCTTGGCACTGTCCCTGCCAGAGCTATTCCCAGGGATGCACAGGGGTGTTATCTGAGGCTCTGTGCCCTGGCACAGTTCAGACAAGAATAGGCAATGTGCTAATATTGTCAGGAATAGTCTTGCTTTGGCAGGAATATAGATTAGACTACCTGATAAGCCTTCTTTTTAAAAAAATGTTCTTTGAGTCAGTGTTACAGTACAAGAAATCCTACTTTAAAAACAGAGAAAGCCAGCAGTGATTTTCTAATTTCGTTTGATACAGTAAAGATAGAGGTGATCCCAAAGCAATCCTCTCTCTATCTTACGTGGGGTAAGAATGGAGGAAATATAAAGAGATATCTGCTGGTTTATTTTGTTCAGTTCTTTGTCCTGGGTGGGAATGGGGTGTGTTACTTTCTGAACAATTCAGCCTCCAGAGGCATTGCTGGTGTGGTGCTCCCAGAACAGCACAGCCCATCGGGGCAGCAACACCTGCACGGGCCGGGCTTCAGCAGCTCCACGGGCTCGGGAGGTGGCAGTGAGGGCCCGGGCCAGATGGATGCTGGGCCTGCTGCCCTCACTGTGTGCACATCACAGCAGGGGAGGTGCAGGGACAGCCCCAGCGCTGTGCGCAGAGGCAGGAGCAGGGAAGGTGCCACCCGGGCTGGCGGTGCTGGGGGAGAATGGGATAACGAGACCAACACAAGAAGCAAGGAGGTTGTTTGGGTTGATCTGATCTGACCTGCAGAGGTTGGAAGGAGTAACTGAAGTGATGGAACTGTAAAAGATTGAGTTTGTATCGAGCCCCCCCTCCAAAGCTGCACTCCCGAGGACTTCAGGCTGACCTAAAACTGGCTTGTTGGAGCTGAGGGGGCTGTGTGGGGACAGTGCACGTTCCAGACCCCTCAGAGCTCTGTGCTGAATGAGAGGTGAGCAATTCTCCTCTCCCAGCACATCTGCTCCGGGCCTGAGTCACTGAGCAGCAGGAGGCTTGTTGGAGCCTGCTGCCCTCCTGCTCTCTGCCTGCTGCCCTGCCCAGGGCTCTGGGCTGCCTGGCAGCTCTGAGCTGTCAGCCTGGGGTTCCCCAGCTCTGCAGCACTTACGGGAAGGACAGTGGCATCAATGTAAAATTCACCCCAGCACCTGAAAGGAAATCTTCACCCCTTGCTTTCAAGGGTCTAGAGGTGAGACAGCAGATCAGCTTGGAGTTCCGGGGAAGATAAAAGCAGTAAGATTGTGGTGATACTTTTATCTTCCAGGACTTTTGAAATTACTCATAAATGGGACTCATCTTGTATAACCTTTAAACACAGAGAGCAGAGAATGAATTTGGTAAATAATCTGAAAACCGTATAAAAGCGGTTTATCAGCAAAATTACCGTGGGGTTTGTTTTTGCTGAGAAAGTAGATTTGTTTAATCACCTGCCAAAGTTTTATGCAAATAGTACAACCCGAAGCACAAGTGTTTCTTATTGGAAGGTGTTTGCCTTGGAAGGCTGGTGTTCATTAACTGCTGGTGCTGAGCTGATTGATTACAGCTGGGAGGTGACTCGGGGTGATGGGCTGATGTTGAAATGTTTCTTTTTCACTTGCGAGACGACTCAGGATCAGCTGCTGATTTCTCCCAAAGCAAACGGTAGGGGTGCCTGTTTCAGGAGAAGCCCAAGGAACAGGGTATTCCTGGGAAAGCAGCACACAGATCCCCGTGCTTTGATCAGCCTGTGTGCTGTCTGGGAGCTGTGTCTCCTCTGGGCAGCACCGAGCCAGCCCTGCAGAGGGCAAGGGTAAAGGCAAACAGGACTTGGGGATGTTCACCAGCCCGAGAGGAGCAAAGAACTCATGCCCTGTACCCTTCTGGAACCCTGACAGGAACCCTGCAATGTTTTGAAGTGAACAAGGGGAAAATTGCCCCTGTGAAACGGCTTCATTCTGCTGGTGACATGTTATCCCTGTAATGAAAGAGCTGGCAATTAACTGCAGTGATGGATGCTTTTTGTTAGAAGCCCATGACTAATTTTTTCTTGCCACCCTCGCTCTCTGTTGTGTCTCCCCTCCTCCCCAGGTGCTGCTGTGCCAGCCGTGGCCTCCAGGCACTGGTACAGCCCAGTGTTCACTCTTGCTTGCCTTTTACCTGCTCCAGACAAGGCAATTGTTTGCAGATATTTTCCACCTTGCCTTTCAGAAATTTTCCATTTCCTCACAGGTTTGCAATTATTTTTTTGTTTTGTTTTAAAAGAGCCTGGGATTTTTTATCCAAACTTAAAAGAAACCACCCAACCCCAAACTCTTCAAAACACCTCAGCACCACAAAACCCCCCAGTGTGTCACACAGGGTGTTTGCTTCATTTAGTACCACATTTCCTACTTCATTAAAGTAGCTGCCAGGTCAAAAAAGCCCTCCCTGCAGTCATGTCTGTGCTGTAGAGTAACCTGCTAGCAAACTCGAGTGAATTTGAAATTAATTACAACAGGCAACACTCAAAATGGATGTGACTGAAGGTATTTCTGTTAAAATCAGAGCAGCAGCTACAAAGGACTCAGTTTGCCCCTTCTCTCCCTCCCCTGACTGAGAGCTCAGACCTTTCTGTGATGTTACAACACTGATGTGGGCAATCCTTTAGATTTTTTCCACTTAGGAAGCTTTAGTCTTTTTATAGGAAATTTGTTTCCATGGGTGAACTTAGGCATGGATGAGTGGGGAACAATGCATTGTTTGTTAAAACAATTTTTTTTTGAAGGGAGTGGGCTTAAAAGGAAGGAAATGTGGTTTAGTTTTAAGTTTCTTTTGAAATTTCTTCCTCTTTTACATCATCAGCCCCCCTAAAAAGGCAAACAAAAAATGCAAACAACTGGAAGTCTCCAAATGGCTTTTTCAATGTACACATCTTTAAAACATTTGGTATAATCTGGAAAGCTAGGGGAAAATTGTCAATTTAAAAATTACTGTCTTGGTTATCTTTGCCTGGTTGTTGTCCCTGGAGAACAGGCAGGTTCTGTCTCACTGCTCTGGCCCATGAGTTTGGCAGAGTTTGTCTGGCCCGTGCCATGGAGAGCAGGGAAAGTACCTCAAGCTTCAGTTTATCCCCCTGCTCAAAGCTCTGGCTGAACGAGGTCCTTGGTTCTCTGATCCCTGCCTGGTTCATCCACGGGCTTGTCCGGGAAGGAAGAGCCCCAGGGAGGGTGAGTGGGGGTGAAGGTTGCAGGGGGGAGGGCTCTTCAGGCAGGAATTCAGTTTAATTTGCAGCTGGCTCTCTGCAGACAGGACAGCTGGCTGGCAATGTGTCTCTCTCCCTTTCCCCAGGGGTCCCGTGGCAGAGCTGCTGCGTGGGCAGTGTCCCCAACACCCTGCTGCTGGCTGGCATGGCCGACCCTGCCCTGGAAGAACACGTGGCCCAGCTGACCGAGCTGTGCTCCCAGTGCGGCCAGTCCCACCTGGTGCTGGACAATCACCTCTACAACTTCCAGGACGAGGTGGACGATGAGCTCATCTGCCACATCTGCCTGCAGCCCCTGCTGCAGCCCATGGACACCCCCTGCGGGCACACCTACTGCTTCAAGTGCCTGGAGAACTTCCTGCAGGAGTACAGCTTCTGCCCCATGGACAGGAAGAAGCTCTCCTTCCAGCAGTGCCACAAAGCCAGCCTGCTGGTCCGCAACCTCCTGGACAAGCTGCTGGTCCTGTGTCCCTTCCAGTGCCAGCAGAGCATGCAGCGCTGCGAGCTGGAGGCCCATCTGCACAACAGGTCTGTCCCTTTGTCCCCTGTGTCACAGCAGGGCTGCTCATCACAAAGATCCATTCTCAGAGCAGCTCCTAAACTGGGGCGAGGTGTCCCACCTCGCCCCAGTTTAGGAGCTGCTCTGAGAATGGATGGGAGGGGGGGAGATGGCAGAGAGGTGGGTGTGTTGGGAACCCAGCTCACACAGCTCCTCAGACCTGCAGCTCCTCTGCACACACTAAACCTAGCTCTGAAACCAAACTCCAAACAGGCTTATTCTTGCCTCACTTGCCCAGAGAAGATAGACAGGCACGGAGTCAGCCCTTCTGACAGCCAGGGATCCTGCAGTGTTGCCAGGTTAATTGGCCCAATTGAGAGGTGCCATACGTCAGTCTTTGATTCAAACAATGCAAGTCCCTCCAAGCTGCACATTACGCAGTGCCTGAGTCACCTACTCATAATTCCATTATCTTCTCATCCTTTTTCTGAGGGAGAGAAGCAAATGGAAATCACTTTTTGTTTCTGTCCCTCTTGTGCAGAGGAAGGGAGACTTCTCGGGTTCAGGTGCTTCCACAGTGCTGGTTGAGCTGCTGGCAGGCAGAATGATGTTGCTTTAAAAGAAGAGCAGGGGACAAAGCTGTTGCTGTGCCACTTGAACCCTTGTTCCTGCCTGGTTAATGATTGCGGGCCAGGGAGCCAAGTGCAAGCCCTGTGCAGGTGGAAGCAGCCCTTCCTTGGCACTGTGTGTTGTGTCAGTGGGCAGTGAGAAATGCCAGGGGCCTGTTTCCTTCAGCTGTGCTGGAGCTCTTTGTGGCAGTGGCATATCTAAAAAATCAGCCAAGCAACGTGCAGGGAACAGTTCCACTTGGGATACCTCTGTAGTTCCTGGTGGTCCTTGTGGTCCCCTGAGAGCTTGTGTTAGAGCAGGGGGAGTGCTGGAAGGTGCTTGTGTGCCCCTTTCCCTGGAGCACTGGAAGGTTACAATCTGCTTTTCCCTGCAGTAGCCCTTTGTCCTGGCTGGTTGGAAGCAGGCTGAGTGCTCAGGCTGCAGGGCTGGGCCTTCCTCTGCTCTGTAAATCTGCCCTGCTATCAGTAAACTCCTGTCACTCCTTAATCCGTCTGGCACAAGGGTGAGCAGGGAGGGAGGGAGGCACCTTCAAATGTTTGGGGAGCTGTCTGGAAACTGTATCATTCCTTATACACTTCATAGTTGTCTGTGTCTCCCTTGAGGGGGTGGATTCTAGGAAGTGAGGCTGTTTCACCTGGGGTATGGCCACAGTCACACTGAGAAATGGGCAGGAAAGAAACGGGGCAAAAACTCACCCTGGGATTTGAGTGTTGCTGCTTTTCAGTTTTAAGTGAGATTAACTGATAGCAGAAGATTTAAGGAAATAAGAAGCATCTAGAAATTTATTTTCTCAGGGGATTTCTCTGCCATTTGCAAAATGAATTTGTTTCTTGCCATCCAAAGAGGGCACAAGTGGATCAATCAGCTCCTGTCGTTAAATTTCAGGGTCATCTTACTGCTTGGAGAATAAGTGAGTAGGAATAAACCAGAGGCAGTCATACTGGGGTGAGACTTGCTTAGCCAGAATTTAAATAGTCAAGTTTAATTTGAAAAGTGAGTGGTAAACACCCAATAGTACTCATGGCTCTGAAAGTGATGATTTTGCATTCACCATCCTCCTCAGCCATCACCTTTTTTATAGGACTCCTGATAAAAGAGCTTGTTCTTCCTAAGCCCTCTGTGCTGAGAGAGGCTGGTTGTGGTGTGTCTGAGCACAGGGAACATTCTGGATTGAGTTACTTCTGGGGCCTCTGTGTGGGAGCACCCAGTGGGATCAGAAACTCTGAATTGCTCCTACTGAGGCAGAGGCACCAAGTGCTGGGGCTGGAGTGTGTCTGAGGGGCAGGGTTTGTGCCACAGCACAATGCACAAGCCTCCCTTGCTACTTTGGTGTGCTAAAACAAAGCCTAATTCAAGGCCCAGCTCAAAACCTGAGCCACCTTCTTTGCATAAAGATACAGTTCCTCGTCATCTCCTAAATGTCAGAGCTGAGTATTTGCTTATATTTTAAGTATTGCTTTCTTTGTGGAGTGTTTGCCAGGTAAATATTTAGCAAGGGAGACTCCCATTCCTATTACGTTCTCCTTCTTAAAACAATTTGCTTAATAATTTTGAAAGGAGTGAAACAGCAAGCCTGCTCTGAAGCTGATATTAGTGCAGGTGGAAGCTGAAGGTCAAATGAGAATAAGTTTTAGCATCTGTGCTACCAGCACTGCAGCTGGTGAGATCTGAACACGCATTTGTCAGCCAGAGCTTGCATGTGCCAGGTCACCCAGGCAGGGACAGCACTGACACACCCTGACAATCTCTCTCCAGGTGTCCTGGGTTCAAGAAGTACAAATCTGAACTACAGAGGAAGAAGAACCCCATTTCCAAAGGGAAGGAAGATCCTCCCACCAAGGGGGAGGCAAACACGCCCAAGGATGCAGAGGGACCAAGTGGAGGTTCATCACTTGTGGCAGAGAGCTCTGGAGCTGCTGTGGTGTCACTGGGGACTGCTGAGCCTGGGCTGGTTAATCCAGCTTTTGAGGAGACTGAAGAAGGTGAGAGTTTGATCCACAAGTGTAATTATGTATTTATCTTTTCTGATATAAAAATGAGGTAATTATCTCCGACAATTCAGTTTCTAAAGTGCCCCCAACACTCTCAGACATCGTCAGTGCTGTTCAGCCCTCAGCAGCCAGCAGAGTAATCTCTTAGCTCAGCTTGTCCTTGAGCAGGAGGAGATGTGTTCATGTGCATCAGGGGTGGCAGGATCTGCTCATGAGCACACAACTGTGCAAAACAGTTTGGAGAGTCTCTGTTAGACAGCAGTGAGTGTTTGCAGACTTCTTTGCAGAAACAAAGGCAGTCCCTGTCCCTGTGAATGTGGAGCCAAATAATTAGTAACTGGGAACTGTTCCAGGTTCTTTTTAATCTCGTTAGGGAAATTAAATGTACAGTTTCCTGGAGTGGTCAGTCCCTCCCTAATGGTGTGCAGTGAGTGTGTTTTTACAGCATAAGTTAGATTTTGGATTAATAGTCAGTTCTGAAAGCCTTGCACATAACATAACCATCTCCACTTGAGTGCAGCACCGCTTGTCTCAAGCCCTGTTAGGAGGCAGCAGCGTGGAAATCCCTGTACCTGTTTCAAAGGTAGTCTCAGCTTCCAAGTGAGCTGGAGCTGACAAGTGCTGTGCCTGGGACACAGGGAATGCACAGGTCACTTCATTTCTCCCTTGGCTTCTCCTCAGCTGCACCTGGAGCAGGTTTTGTGACAAGTGCCCTTGACCCTGAGCAGCAGCACTCTGGGCTCTGGGACATGGAACAGGACCTGCCAACAGCAGCTTCCATCTTCAGAGTGAAGCCTTGCTTCATCCTCAGGATGCTGGGAAATGGCCAAATGTTACTCCTGCTTTACAGGGGGGCTGGGAAAAGAGGAGCAAAGGAAATTAGAGGAAGGAAGTTGCAGTGAGGTGCCTGCGGTAAAGTCACTGCAGCAGCACAGCAGTAATTACTGGGTAGGCCCCTTCCCTACGGAGCATCATGGAATCTGGAATTTGCTCTGTATGTGCTTCTAGCAGGCCAGCTGTCACAGGAGGAAAATACACCTCTAAAGAGCAGCCAAAACATACTGAGTGCCCTTTAATAGAACTCAGGCCACAGTAATAAAGAGTTTGAATTCACCATAAGCTAGGAGAAAATGGAAGCATTTTGGAGGAACTGTAAAGAAACACAGGGTTTTTAGCTTTTCATCTGACCTTTTGTCTCCTGGTAGCTGCTTTTCCCCCAGGCTTTGAACACAGCCTGCCAGCGGGGTGAACACTGTGGTGCTACGAGAAGGAAAATCCTGTTAATGTGTTGATTTTTCTCCTCACTTCCCATGAGCAGACCTCCCTCACAGAACCAGTCTTGTGGCTGAAACCACCACCATTGAAATCCACCGAGAAGACCCTGAGGAGGAGCTGGGGATGAGGATCGTGGGGGGCAAGGACACCCCGCTGGGGAACATCGTTGTTCAGGAAGTGCTGCGGGACTCTGTGGTGGCTGCAGATGGGAGAATAGCACCTGGGGACCACATTCTGGAGGTAGGAAAAACCCCACTGGCAGTGCCATTGCTGCTCCTGGCTTGACATGAGGGCTGGGGGAGGAGAGCTGTCCAGAGAAACTGGGAAATCCCCACAGTGAGGGTTCTAAAGTGCTAATCAGACCTGTGTGTCAGCAGCATAGTGTATCTGCTGGGGCTGAGGAGCAGACCCCTGGGGCTCCTTACAGTCATACTCATGTTTCCCTTGCATATTTGATGGCCTTTTGAAATTTAGCCCATTTTGGATAAAGTGAAGATTTCTGTCTGATAATTTTCACACAGTAGCCCTGTTTGTCTCCAGAGGGCTCTGTTCTAGTCAGGAAGTCTCATAATTGCTTGTTCTCCCCTGTTGCTCAAGCTGCATATTCTCCATGGGCAGGTCCAAAGTGACCTTATGAGTGAAGTGAGCATGAGATATGTGATGTGAGCAATGCAGAGCACCAGCCCCAGCCTGGGCCAGCCCACAGCCAGGGCAGTGCCCAGCTTAGTCACCTGTGAGGCAGTGGGGACCAAGGGGACACCGGCAGGGAGGCAGGGACTGTTCCCACCTCCAGCCATGGCTGCCCAGGCATTTGACAGGCCACGAGGACCTCACTGTCCTGTGGGATCCTTCCTGATGTCCACACGTGGTGGCACTCCTGGGGATGGTCCTGTGCAGGGCCAGGAGCTGGACTGGATGATCCCTGTGGGTCCCTTCCAGCTCAGGATATTCCAGGACTATGATTCCAGGAAGGAGTGCCAGCCCCACACACACGAGTGGCTGATCCCATCTCTGACCTGGTTCCTTAGGGAGACAATTGGGGTAACTTCTCTTTTACCCAGTGGGATTGCACGTGTCTCAGTCTCTGCTGGGCTGTAAATAGGGCAGGTTCCCACACTTAGGACCCCTGCTAACATCCCAAAAGATTGCACAGGGTCTTTCGTGACAACACACAAAGTGGGACGTTCCCTTCTCAGAGTTACCTGGGTAAAAGTGTGATTAGCCAGGTGATTCCAGAAGCTTGTAGACTGTGGACCACTCCTCAGCTTAAAAGGGAGGATGGGCAGCCTTCAATCTGAGCCTTCCCCAAGTCTGTACTGAAGGCTGGAAGTTAAGGGAAAGCAGTTGCCAAGGGATGGAAGGGAAGACTGAACACTCTGCAGTTTCAGGTTTGTTGGTGTGTGAGCTGTCCTCTCTCTCCCTGCCCTCGGTTAACACCAGCAATTACAGTCTAACCTTATCTGCAGCCTTCTTCATTCTTTTGGGAAAACTCTGCTCTCCAGTGTGCCTCAGCAGCAGCTGCTGTAGCCAGAGCCTTGCAGAGGGAGTTTCCATCCTGCTCCAGCTGGGTGATGTCCCACAGTGTGCACAGAGCCCAAATCCCGTGGGCCCTGATTAGAGCCTGTGCTGTGTTTGTCTCTCAGGTGAATGGTGTCAACATCAGCAGCGTGACTCACTGCCAGGCTGTCTCCTTCCTGCGCCACCCAGGCCCTGTTCTCCACCTCATGGTCCTGCAGGAGAAGGGCTTTTCCAACAAGACTGCCCAGCAGGATTCCAGTTCTGCAAACCGGGAGGTGATCCACGTCACCCTGGTGAAGAGAGACCGCTCCGAGCCCCTGGGCATCAAACTGATCAGGAAGACTGACGAGGCTGGCATCTTTATTCTGGATCTCTTGGAGGGAGGTTTGGCAGCCAAAAATGGCAGGCTGAGTCGGAATGACAGAGTCCTGTCAATAAATGGGCAGGATCTGAGACAAGGAACACCCGAGGCCGCAGCACAGATAATCCAGGTGAGCTCAGGTATAAGGGGAGGATGGGAATGCTCTGCAGCTCTGGCTGATGGCAGGGCTCCTGTTCTGGCCCAGGGGCTGGCAGAACACACAGGAGCAACCTGCATTCCCTCAAATATCTCTTTGGGAAAGTGACTCCCCTGCGGATGTGTGGGATCACCACTTCCACAGGAGGACAAGCATGACGAGCGGGTATCACTGTGAGTCACTCTGACAGGGCTGGGGCCAGGCAGTGGCTCATGGCTCTGGTTCATCCCAGGTGACTGGACCTCCTTGGTGGTGTTTGCAGCCTTTCCTGCAGAGGGAATGTTGTCTGCACTGGGTGGATTCACAGAGCAGGCATCAGGACAGCCCTTTGTGATTCAAACCCAGGGAAGGTGCTTGTGGGAGCTGTGATGGGCTGGCAGCACAGAACAAACCCCCTCGGGCTCATTTGGAGCCCTTTCTCCATTTGACCTGTATTTGGGAAGAGAGTCTAGAAAACAACGTGGGGCCCCTCAGGCTGAAACCATTCCAAGATGCTAAATGGGTAGAGGAGGGTGGTCTTCCCCTGCACCATCAGGAATTGCTCCTGTTGCAGCATGCCACATGTTTTGGGGAAAGGAGTGGGCAAGGAATTTTGGGGAAAGGATTAAGGGCTGCTCCTGTGCAGCGGGTATCACATAGATCAGTTTAAGTTCTTTATCTCCCAAGGCAAGTACCTCCAGCTTGAGGTTTTATCTGAGGATCCTGACACAATACATCTCATCACACTGTTTATATCCCCAAAGGATGTGAGGTCAGTGCTGAGGGAGCCAGTTCTCTTCCTGGCAATCCGAGCAGCACAGTGCATGGGAGAAAAGAAGGGAGAGGGCAGAGTTCCACTGCTGAGATTCCTTTTTATGTTAAATATGTGATTCCATTCCATGGCCTCTTAGAACTTGTTTGCATCCCACGAGTGCTGCTGTATTTCTGTTGCAGTGTGGACACACAATCCCCACAGGAAGAACTCTTTTTCTGATCCCACTGGAATCAGTACCCAAGTCTCAGAACCAGCTGCATTGGGTGGGGGATTGAATCCTTTTGAAGCAACATTTGTGTAAAACTCTGACAGTTTTCCAAATGTTATCTGTTCTTCTGAGGGCTAATTTCACCTCTGGGTTAAATGTAACTTCAGAAGCCCCTGTTGCAAGGGCAGGGAATTCCCTGCTGCCTGGCTGCTGTGGCACCAGGGAAATGGGGTCCTGTGGCAAGAAGTGGAGCAGCCACTGTATTTCTGTCATCCCCTGCAGGAAACACCCAAGGGAGCACATCCACCCTACCCCAGTGGAGCCCTTCCCAGTAAGGGTTTGTCAAGTGATCTGAAAGAACAAACCAAACCAGAAGAGCAGTAACAATAGTGGGGCCTTCCCCTGCAGTTCTGCCAAGGCCAGACATACAGCTGGTTAAGTGTTTAATTGGCAGCAGACTCAGAGCAAAGGTCATGTTTTCAGGTACTCTGGGGGGAAAATGGCTGGGAGATGTGGAACAGTGGAGAGTACAGGCTGGGAGGGAAACAGCTTGAACAAGTTTCTGTACAATAAAAGAAAAGCCTCCAGTGCTCCTCACGGCCATGGTGTGGCCCAGTCAGTGTTGCAGCTCTGCTCACCTTGGGTCACAACACAATATGTCACTGTGGTCAGTTGTACTCAAAATCATCCCTTTCCACCTTCTCTTGCTTGGCATTTGTTGGAGAGAGGGGATGAGTGAAGCCTGTGCCTCTTCTCGTGTTCCTTCTGGCCAATCCTCTTTTCTTATTCCAGCAGCATTCCCCAGCTCTTCCCAGAAGCCTTTGCAGCATGCTGAAGAGCTGTTCCAGACCCTCTGTAGGGACCAACCCTCCTCTTTCCCCAGGAGAATGGCAGGGGCTGTCCCTAACTGCTCATTGATTTTTCTCTCTGTTTTATTTACACTCCTGGTTTCTGCTGGCAGACCACTGAGTCCAGAGTGAACTTTGTGATCCTGAGGCAGCCCGGGGTGCAGCTGCCAGAGCCAGCAGAGGATGGCAGCTCCTCCAACAGCAGCAGCAGCAGCAGCAGCAGCAATGGGGGCAGCCCCGTGCACCACCGCAGGCGGCTGGACCAGAGCCACTACAGGCGCAAATCCACCTACCAGAAGGTCAGTCTGCCAAAGGAGGGCTAAAGTGCTGCTTCTTCCTGATCCAGCAGAGGGGCTGGGTTTGCTCAGCAGTGGTGATTTATGCTGTCAGACTGAGCAGCAGCTCCACTGCTGCTTGAGCTGTTGCAAAGCAGCAGGTTTGTGGCTGTCGGTACTGGAGAACCAGTTTGTCATTTGCTGGGAAACATCAATTTAAGGGAAAAAGGTCTCAAAATCTCTTCAAGTGTCTCTGATGTGGATGCAGAACTGGTGTTTAATCCTCTCTTGTCTGGGAAGGGCAGTGAGGAATTTACCATCCCTGGGTTGCTCAGGACCTGCTTCCCCACGCCCCCCGTGCTCAGGGGGCTGCACTGACCAGGCTGTGCTGCTGTGGGGGCAGAGGCCCTGCTGGTGCAGGAGCAGAACCCCAGAGGACACTGAGGTGCTCTGGGACTGCAGGGTGTGTCTGTGCAGCACCACGAGCCACAGGAGAACCACCAGCCTGGTGTACCAGGAGACAGTTACTCTGTGTTTAGAACTTCCAGCTGAGTGAGAAAACTTGCTGCATCCTTAGGCTCGTGTGTTTGAGTGTCCCTGACCGTGGGCAGCTGTCAGATGTGGAGTGTGGCTCCTTGATTTAATGCTGCAGTAACATTCCCATACTGTTTGCACAGCCTGTGCTCTGATGTGTGCTCTCACTGCAGCCTCAACACTTAGGCAGAGCTTGACTGCTTGATAGGAATGGCCTTGAAACGAGTTCAAAGCTTTTCCTCCGTGTAAAATTGTCCTCCTCAGCGAGCATCTCCCCAGCAAAGGGACTGTGGGAACATCAGGACAGCTCTGCCTCGGTCCTGCTGCCTCACCAGGGAAATACAACTCTGTGTTTCCCCTCAGAGCAAGGACACGGGGAGCTGACTGACACCCATGGAATGTTCTGGAGAACAGACCCTGTGGTTGTCTCCCACACCTGGGTTCTTGTGCTGATCACATCACTGAAGCTGCATTTTGTGCTGCCGTTCCTTTGCAGGATTTACCTCAGGGATATGCAAGTCATGAAAAGACAGTTGCAATCAAAAAGGAACCCAAGGAATCCTTAGGAATAACCATTGGAGGTGGAAGGGATAACAAAAACAAGCTCCCTATTTATGTAACGAGCGTGCAGCCCATCGGGTGCCTCTTCAGGGATGGCAGAATCAAGAGAGGTGAGGAGGCTCTGGGACCCTTTGTGCCTTTGCAAATGGGGGGTTTTCAGTGAAAGTTGGACTTGGACACAGAAGTGAGGCTGGAAACAGGATTCCACATGACACCCCGAGGCAGAAATGGACTTCATAGCAAAAGGTCTCTAACAGTCCCTTTTTATTTCACCAACAGGAGATGTACTTTTGAGCATCAATGGCATTGATTTGACTCATCTGAACTACTATGAAGCTGTGTCAGCACTGAAATCTAACGCTGCTTCCCACTCAGTCACACTGAAAGCCTTGGAAATCCTTTCCCTCAACTCGTCAGAGACACCCCTGGACATCAGGGAGCAGGGATTCAGCTGGTCCCCCCTCTGGATCACGTGGCTGGGACTGCCCAGGTACGTGTGTGCAGAGCAGGTAATCACAGGCCTGACTTTCACTCAAACACTGGAATTAATTGCTTTGTTGACTCGCTTGGAAGCATTGCTGGCATTCCCCTTTAGCTGAGAGGCAGTGGGAAGCCTGGTTTGCCAATGAGATCACAGTGTAATGAATGCTTAAGAAACTTGCAGGGCTTTTATGGTGTGACCCATCATTGCCCCACTCCTGTGGGACAGGAACCGTGGGGTAGGAGCTCCTGAACCCCCTTTTTAGAAAGAGAAACAGTCAGTGTTGGATCCAGCCCCTGCTCAAATACGAACTGAATTCCCTTCCTGGATCTCCTCACACAAGCCAGACCCTTGAGCTGTTTGGGACTTTCTAATCTGCTGGTGTCACTGAGGGGCAGATGTTCTTTCAATCTGTTCTTCCTGGCTGTGGTGTCACCTTTAGCATGAAGCAGAAGTGACTGAATGGCTGAGTTTTGCTGCTGCAAGGCTTTGGAGCACAGACTGAGCACAGCTTTGAGCAGCACTGTGGGATGGTCCAGCTGACAGCACTGAGACTGCCTGGAAAGGTGAAAGTCTGGTTTGCTCCCTTGTGCAGCTGCACCAAAATCAGCTGAGCTGTGACAGGCAGACCTGTTGTCATCCCAGTGACTGCAGGAGGACCGTGCAGGAGGTGCACATGGAGCAGTAAAGCCAAACCCTTCTGTGGGAAGCCTGGATTATTTACAGCCTCGTTTCTTGAGGCACCTGAAAGAAGAAACATGGACAAAGGCTCTGTTGTGTTACCCCTGAGTTACTCAGCAGCCTGTAAATGCTGAATAAACCAGCCCAAGGAAAGGCTTTTGTGTCTGGGGTGGCTGCAACTTGGCCCGTGCTCAGCACCCTCCTTGCACTCCCTCTGCTCTCCCAGCAATCCCTGTCTGTGCTGGGCAGCTCCAGTGGGAAGCAGCCCTGAGCTGAGCCCAAACTGGAGCACAGGCCCTCAGATGCTGCCTGTGTGTTCCTCAGGGGTGCTCCTGCAGCAGCAGAGCAAGGCAGAGCCTGGCTGTACTTCTTCCTTCCTGCCTTTTTCCCAGTGTCTTTGCATGTGGGTGACCTGCAGCTTCAGCACACCCTGTTCTGCTCCAGGGACTGGAGCCCCCTCTCTGCTCATGGATCACCTGCCCTCATTTCAGGAGTCTCCTGACATTCCCTGCCATTTAACACATTGCTTGATACTCTTTGCTGCTGGTGTTAATGTTGCCCCCCTTCCTTTGGCTGTGGCTGGGCCTGGAGCAGGATTTCAGGTGTCCTTCTGCTCTTCACTTCCTTTTGCTGCAGCCCCAGTTCCAGCCCCTGTGCCTGGGGACAGTTGTGCTGGGAGGGAGTCAGGAGGCACGTCCTGAGGCCATTTCAAGAACTCACCGAAGCTCCTTCCTCGTTTCCAGCAGTAGAAAGGGCTGTAATTCCTGTGCTTCCTCCCTCCTTTTGCCATCTGCTCACAGTCAGACCCGGCAGGAACCGGCTGGTCACCCACAGGCACCCTTGTTGTTCCCTGGCAATGCTTCCTGAGGCTTTGAGGGAGGTGCAGCTGAAGTGAGGATCCCTCCAGCATCTCCCTGCGGTGTTTTGGGTCTCCTTTGGGCAGGAGTGACCCTGCAGGGCTGCAGAGGGAGCCCGTGGCACAGACCTGCATGTGCCACCCTGGCACTGCCCTGCAGGAATCCCCTGCCATGTGCCCAAACTGCCCCCTGTCCCAGCACCGGCCTCTGCCCTTTGGGCTGCCCTGCTGAAGGGCCTCACGGTGCCACAACATCCTGCAGTGCAGTGGGACAGTTCAGTGCTCATTGCATGTGCAGTGTTGGGTTTGTTCAGCTTTTATGTTTTCAGTTATTCCTCTGATCCATCAGAAATGTCCCTTTGTTTCTATAACGATGTATTTCTTTCTAGTTTGAACCCAAACTAAGGGAGTATGTCTGGTTGTTGCAGCACTGGAGCCCACAGTGCTTAACTGAGGCTTTGATTCTTGATCTGTGGTTCCTGTTTCTGCCAAATGCTGCCACCTGGGCACTGCTGGTGATGTGCTGGGACACTGGAGCCCTGCAGCCTGTCCTGGGTTCTGTCCTGGGACTGGCACAGAGAGAGGGAGAGAGGACAGCCCTGGTGCTGTGCCCTCCTCGGGACCCTGGGGAGCAGCTCCTTGGCTGTGCTGAACCAGGGGCTGGCATTTCTTGTCTTGGAATGCAAACCTGCTGTCCCTGGAAACTCCCTGCCCTCAGACTTTGCTTTAACTGCTGGCACAGGGGGGTGCAGTGGTTTGCTACCATCTATTGCTGCTGCTTGTTTGTCCCAGAGGGAGCACAGAAACTTTGATTTCTCGATGGTATTATGTCAAATCAATAGCAGCCCTGGGCAGTATAAAATACCCTCACAAATGCTGGTCTGTGTCCTCAACACTGCACCCTAAAGGTACCACAAATACAAGTTCACAGACTGATGTATGTTTTCTCTGCAAAACCTTTGCCTCTTAAAAGCAGTAACTGTGCACAGTGTGCCTTATGGGCAACTCCTGGGGGTGGAAAAGCAGCTCTTCTCCTGCCTTCTCCCCTGGATTATCTAAGCCAGACTCCACCAAGTCCGAGCTCTTCCCACCCCCCGTGGTGCTCCTGCCCAGGCCCTGCTGGAGCTGCACACCCTGAACTCCCAAAGGGCCAGCTCAGCATCAGCCTGGCACCCAAACCCAGCACCTCCACCTTCCTGAAGCCTGCAACTCTTCTCCCACAGTCATTTTACATAATACCAAATTAATGTTTCCCTTCCTAAAACCTCTTTTTTTTTTTTTTTTGGTACTGAAAACTGATTTCTAGCAAACTGTCTTTATATCTGATGCTTTTACTTCTGCTGTGTGCACTTGCCCCTCTTGCTCTCAGCGCTGTGGTTTTGCACATGTGTGGCACCTGTGGAAGGAATTCATGGAGGAATCAATAAACTGGAGCTGGATTTTATGTGTGAAAAACTCCTACCAAAGTAAACAGTTTGAAGTAGATAATTGGATCTTTCTCCTGGTGAGAAGTGAACCGAGAAGGCTTTTGAAATCTGAAACTCCTGTGCAAACGGCTCCACAAAGCCCTCGGGCAAAAACGGTTATTAGGGAAAGCTGAGCTGCTGGAGGAGCTCGGTGTGTGAGGAGCAGCAGCTTCACACCGAGCCCTGACTGCAGCGAGGGACACGGGACGCTCCTGCCACCCCTCCCCGGGCTGGCCACGGCTCTGTGTGGCTGTGCCACCGCCCGGGCAGCGAGTGCTGCTGAGCACTGCCCCGGGGCATTCCCCGGGGACACAAACCTGCCTGGCCAGCGTCCAACACCGGCCGGCAGCTCTCGGCAAGGAGCCCGAGGTAACGGCCCCAGCAGCCTGGAGCCCCAGGACACGTCACCGTTAGCCTGGTTGTCACCGCGCGGGGTGTTCACCGAGAGCATTCCCTGGGAGCATTCACGAGGGTATTCACGAGGCTTTCAGGTCACACACCCCTCCAGAGAACGGGAATTTCCTGTCAACTCTTAAAAGTCTGACAGCGCTGAGAGAATATTCTAAAGGTCTGGTATGGTCAGATTTGAGAATCAGCCCCGCAAAGGGGTGGCTCAGATCCTGGGGAAAAGTGAGGCTGTGACAGAGCTGTGCTGTCCCTGAGGGGAAACGTTAAGCAATTTTCCTTGACAGGCTCTCACCAGCTCTCTCTGTTCCTGCCACAGCCACCTGCACTTCTGCCAGGACATCGTCCTGAGTAAAGGCAACCTGGAGAGCTGGGGCTTCAGCATCGTTGGGGGCTTTGAGGAGAGCAAAGGAAACCAGCCCTTCTTCATCAAAACCATCGTGCCCGGCACTCCTGCCTTCCGCGACAGGAAACTCAGGTAGGTGTGAACTACCCGGGCTGCTCGGGGGCAGCACAAACACTCCCGGGGCTTTCCCTTTGCCCCTTGTGACCAGCCCAGCTAAAAGTTAACGACTGGAATTCCTACACACTCGACTGGGCAGTTAATGCTGATGCCAAACTCGTAACAAACCAAGGTCTGTATTAAGGAGCGTTTTGGTTTCTCCATAAAGGTGCAATGAAAAGGAATTAACAGCTGGGTTTTAAAGGGCTGTAAAGGTCTTAATTGAGTAATTAGGGAAAAGTAGGAAGGGGACGTTTGAGATGAATCTTGGAGGTTCTAGAATATAATATCTTTTGGATTAGGAGAAGTATCCCAAGAGAAGCAACAAAAGGAAAATTAAATGGAGCTTTTGCTGAGCTGTTTGTGAGTGAGAAATCCCAGAGGGGAGGAGTGGAGCTGCAGGAGCCCTGGTGCTATCCCTGGGAAGCAGGAGCTGGGTCCCCACAGGCTGCAAGTGCAGGATTAGAAAGGACAGAGGCTGGGCTGGTCTTTGCAGGGACGTGCTTTGGGTGGAGGGAGCTGGGCTTTGCTCCACTCAGAGCTGTGCTGGGAGGACTGGGCTCAGGGGCTCCTGTGGGGGTGCCAGGACAGGGATGTCTCCCCATCGGACCCAGGGTGAGGTTCCAGCACCTCCCAGCCCTCTGGAGATGCTGCTGTGCCAGAGGGGCAGATCCCACAGGATCCTGTTGTCCTCCCCTGGGGCACTGGGCCCGACCTGCAGCACTGGCCTGGCTCAGGAGTGGGGAACAGCACAAACCTGCCCGTGCAGCTTCTCCCTCTGCTGTCCCTGCCCTGGCCGTGCTCCTGGGCCGTTCCCTCTGTCCCCAGCAGTGCCTGCCCTGCCCTGCCCTGCCCTGCCCACGCACTCGCAAGGGAACAAGTCCAGTGCCCGTGGCTCGGGGGGTGATCCGAGGCTGAGGCTGCAGTTCCCGGTTCCCTCAGCCTGCCCAGCGTGTCCTGTGCTCCCAGGTGTGGAGATGAGATCGTGGCCGTGAACGGGGTCCCGGCCATCGGGATGAGCAACGCGGAGCTGATCCCGATGCTGAAGGAGCAGCGCAACAAAGTCACCCTGACCGTGGTGTCCTGGCCAGGGAGCCTCGTGTGACAGCGACCAGCACCACCTGCAGGGACCAGCACCAGCTGCAGGGACCAGCTGCCACCACAGTGCCACACGAACCCAGGGCTGCTCTGCTCCTGCTACCTGGGGCAGTGCCAGGGAGGGCTCTTTGCTTCCTTCCTGTGGAAAACGTTTTCCTGTGCTGAGGGTGGCACCACAGCCGGCTGCTGAACTCCACGAACAGTTCATCCCACGGCTGCAGCTTCCCAGGCTCATTGAAGCTCCTTAGGCTGCTGTGGCAGAGGAAGCTCTTCCCAGTGTTTCCCACAACCTGCCTTGGAGGCTGTTGAGGCACTTCCCTTGATTTTAGGGCTCAGCTTTCCTTTTCCTATTTTGATCAGGTTAAACCAGTGGCTTTTAGAAGCTGCTAATAAACCAATCTGTAGGGACAGGGACCCACTCTTGATGTTTTCAGGTTTCAGTAACCCAAGGACTGTGTTAACACATTACAAAAACCGATGGTAACTCAGCTGGCACCTGAAGAGCTGCCGGGGCAGGATGGGGGAGCGGTCCCGTCACAAATCCTGGTTTAGGATCCTGCCAACTCCACTGATTTATTGCAAATGGACAATTTAAACTGCTTAAAGAACCCCTGTCAAAGGGAACAGCAAAGTGGTTTCACTGACTCCATGTTGCAGAGTGTGACTGCAGCAGAGGGCGATGGCAGGGCTCACAGAGAAGATTCCCTGGTTTTATGACTTGATAAAAGCAGCTTTTCCCCAGAAGGCAGGTGATTAAACAGGCCCCGTGTCCCAGCAGGCTGTCTGGGATTCTGTCAGTGCCTGGCTTTCCTTCATCAATTCCCAGTGACCAGGGCAGGGTTCAGGCAGGGGGAGGAGCCCCTGCCCTGTCAGGGAGGGCAGATTTGCTCCTGCAGCTCTGTTCATGTCCCCTCGCAGCTGGAGCCAAACCCCAACTCGCTGGGCCAGGGAAGCTCCAGGGGTTGTTGCTCCTCAGCCATTTGTGCCCAGGGCAGCAGGAAGTCCCTCCAGGGCAGTGCCCGGCCTGGCTTCAGGTCAGCCCCTCTGCACAGGAGAATTTATCTGCAGGGCTGGATGGGGCTGTCCTGACACCCTGCCCCTTCCTCCCTGCAAGTTCCACCTGAAGCAACTCCTCCTCTTCCAGCAGGTCCGTGGTGAGCAGGAGCAGGGACAGGTCCTTCTCAGACTGGGCTACACTGAGAGATCTCTCCTCTCCTGCTGCCTCTGCTGCCCCTTTTCCAGGAGCAGCTTTGTAAGAATCAGGAGTCCCCCCCGGCAAAACGGTGCCTGGGAGGAACGTTCAGCTCCCTGCAGAGGGCCTGGCCCCTGGAGCTCCAGGCAGGGCCAGCACCCAGCACCACTGCAGGATGCAGCCCCACAACACCCTCTGCTCACAAACAGCCCTGGCACTGACAGCACAGGCTCCCTGGGCTGGGGCTCGTTCCTGTTCCCCCTGAGAGCAAAATCAGCCACACAGGAAACTCCTCCTCGACCTTTGCTCGGACACAAAGAACACAAAACCCTGAAGCAATGTTTTGTCTCTTTGCAATCAACGTGCAGAACCTGTGCCTGGGGTGGAACAGTAAATATTGGTGTACAGAGAGGGCACAGCTCCTCCTGCCTGCACCCCGTGCCAGGGGCTGACGGGCAGGAGGAAGAGCTGCTGGGCAAGGGGAGGGAGCAGGAGCTGCAGAAGGATTTTACTGTTACTCCACCTCCTTCCAAGGTGCCTTCAACTTCACCAAAATGTCCTCATAATTTAAATTTTGTTTCCAAAAATCAGCTTGTTAATAGATGTTGAATTTGTTTTGATGCCTTTATAAATTATTGTAATATTGCTGAAAAATGTGTCATAGGTGTGGTTTTCACTTTTCTTTCCAGTGTATCAGTTAATGGCCCCTGAATAGGTGACCTCTGAGAGGAAATAGTGGAGTTTGCTGCTGCTGCTCCCAGGAAAGGAGCTGGACTGTCCTGAAATACACTGGGGCTGGGAAAAAATCCCTGACCAACCGTAACCCCACATCAAACCACAGCAAAGGTCATTTCCAACACCCACCTTTACATTTCCCTGGTGTTAAGGGCAAGCATTTGACCTCTGTTTATCTAATTAAAACAAAACAATTTAAACCCTTACCTTCCCAGCTGCCCCTGGCACCAGCCTGCTCCCAGCAGTGCAGGAGGTCCAGCACCCTCAGTAACTCATCCCTGCAGGATTCCCCCTCTCCTTGCTGCAGAGGGAGCAGAGGGATGTGACCACCAGGAATTCAGTCTGTCCCAGCAGTGGTTTCTGTCACCCCCAGGCAGAGCAGGAGCTGTGGAACAGCCAGGGCTGTGGAACAGCCCCGTGGCACCCACAGCCCCCTCCCTGGTAGAACAGGCCGTGCCAGCACCTCTGAGCAGCCCAGAGCGGGCTGGGGGCACTGCCCCAGCCCTGGCACTGCTGCCCTGCTCCAGCAGAGTTCAGTGCCGGGAAACAACCACCACATCTCACAATTCCCAAATGCAGGCTCCCTGTGGAGCCAGGGCAGGAGTGCTGGGCCCTCTCCCCTCGGCACTGCCCTGCCCAGGGCAGTCTGTGCTCTGCAAGCCCAGGGAGGGCACAGAGCAGGCACTCCTGAGTCTCCAGCAGGCCAGGTGTGGTTTCTCCTCTGCCCCCTCAGCAGTGCCTGGTCTGGCTGACAAGGTGGTGACAGCTTGGGGGCCTTTTCCAACCCAGGGATTCCGTGCTCCTGTAACTGGATAAAATTCAGTTAATCTCCTGAACGCTCCTGGGCACTCCCAGCTGACCTCCAGGACTGCCCTTGGTCCCCCCAGTGCCAGGAGATGGGATTCCCTGCTTGGGTTACCCCCACCCGTCCTGTGCTGCCCATCAGACACCCCGTTCCCAAGCCCTGGGGCTGTGCTGGGGCTCCAGCCCCTTTCCAGGCCCTGCCCCCATGCTGGGTCAGGCCACACCTCAAAGCACGTGAGAAAACCTCCATAAAAACCAAAACCCAAGAGAGCCCCCAGGTCTCGCCCTGCCCCCTGCAGTCCAGGACTCATCCATTGTCACCCCTTCCCAGAGGGCTCTCCTGGCTCAGGTCACAGCACACTCAGACTTGCAAGGTTACAATACCAAAATATACAGAACATTTCAGAACCATATTATTTTAGGACAAATATTTAAGACAGTCTTAAATAACAAGTCAAAGAAAAATGAGACACTTGTGGACTCACACAAACTGAAGGGCAGGATCCTGAAGAACCAAAACCCCTAAAATTATCTCCCCTGTTCTCCCCACCCAGAAACATCTCTATTGCCCCTCTCCCCAACCAATACTAAGTCCAAAGAAACTTTGGAATTCGACTAAATTTATTTTGGGATCTAGGGGAAGGAATTCACGGGCAGGAGTGTCGGTGATACCCAAATAGAAACGCCAACCCCACGAGGGCAAACTGCTGGGACTTGGTGCTCTCTGCTGCCCTGGGTCACTCAGCTCAACTCAGGGGAAAAAAGGAAAGAAAACAGGCAAGGCAGAAGTAATTCAAGAGAAACTCTTACTGCAGGTCTTCCTGGATTCCCCTCCGAGGTGCAACACGGCAGAACTGCCTTTGCAAGGGGGAACAAAGCGAGTTTTGGGCGCTCTGCCCACGCTGGGTGAGTGCCAGGCAGAGCAGCCCCTGCAGCTCCTCTGCCACGGAGAAACCAGAGGCTCTTTCTGTAGCTAGAAAGGAATTTATTGGGGATGAGACTCTTCACTACCACACCAGACTCTAAGCTGGCTCTCGGGGTCTAAGTCACACTGGTCTTTGGACAATAAATTTCAAGTTGCACTTACTGTCCTATTGAAAAAAGGAATGATGATGACAAAAAGGAACGGAAAGCTATGACCTAATTGTGTTAGTTTCAGCTGAAGCCATCTTCCATCAGAAACCATAGGATCTGATACACCACAGTCCTCCCTAGGGATGTGTATGAGTAGAGTAGCTCAGTGCTTTGTAACTAGTACTGCTGTATTGTCTCGTATCAAAACCAAAAAACAACAAAAAAGGAAGTTTAAGGGCACGTGCAGCCTCAGCTCCCCGAGCCCTGTGCCGTGCCAGGGCTCCCCGTCGGCCTCTTCCCTCGGAAAAAGTAAAAAATAATTAAAAAAAAAATCACCCCCCGCCCCAAACCTCAGCAGTGCCAGGCTGGGGGCACAGGAGTGGCTCCTGCCCAGGGGGCTGCTCACTCCTTGGTGTCCTGCTCCTCTCCCTCCTGGGCCCCGTCCTCGCTGGCCTCCTTCTCCTCTTTGCTCCGCTTGTTCTTTTTGTGCTTGTGGCGCCGGTGACTCTCCCCCTCCTCGCTCTCGTGCTGCTTCCTGTGGGGAACAGAGGGGACAAGTGACAGCTGCCTGTGCCACACAGGAGGGACTGCAGGGCCAGGGACAGCCGTGTGTGGGATGAGCTGTGCCCATGGTTGTGCCCACACCGCCCGTGGCAGCGGCACAGCCGGGCGGGTCTGTGGGGACACCCCCGGGGAGCTCCAGCAGTGCCAGCGCAGCTCGGGGGGCTGAGAGGAGGGGGAGCCCTCACTCCAGAGCTGTTTGGAACTTTCTCTCCTGAACACCGGGGGGAAATCCTGGGACTTGAGGCAAGAAAGGGATCAATGGAGCGAGAGAAACGTGGGGGCAGATCCTGTTTCTGCCCCTGCTCACTCACACACGACCTGGCTCTTCACTGGCTCCATCCTCCACCACTCCTCTATCTCCACACCCGTTTTCCTGATGCAGGTGGATAGCTGGGATTGTTGGCACAGGATCTCTGATGTGGGAGGAGTCCTGGAGGGGCTCTGAGTGTGCCCTGGGAGCAGCTCTGCCTCCCGTCAGGGCAGGTGGGAAGGTGGGAGCTGTGCCCTGGCCCCTCCTGGGACGAGATTTGCTGCTGCTTCTCCAACACACAATTGTTTCTCCTCACAGGCTGAAAACCAGCTGAGCTCTTGAGAGCTGAGCGTGGGGTGAAGGGGGCAGAGGTAAAACAATCCCAGAGCAGGGAAATGCAGATGAACATCCCAGTGCAGGCACAGCTCCACGGGTGGGGACAGTCAGGTCAGAGACAAACCCTGACACGGCTGGAACACCAGTTTGGCAGCACAGACACCAAACTGGGTGAACCTGGCTGAAAAGCTCCTGGCTTCAAGGAGCTTTCTGACTACTTTAATGAATGGTTTCATAGTCATTAAAAGGGGAAAAAATTAAAGGAAAAAATCAACACCTTCAGCCACCCCGTGGACAATGTGTCAGTGGGCTGTGCTGGGACAATGGGATGGCCTTTAATACTGGAACCAGTGTGGGTGATTTCCTGCAGACTGGGCACTTTGCAGGGAGCTGGAAGCTGCAGCTGGAGCCTTTCATGTGCCTGCAGACGCCTGCCCAGGCTCAGAGCTCAGTGTGCCTCAAGCAGGGACTCTGACACGCACCCCAAGTGGCCTTAAACACAGTACTGCTCCCTTTTCTTGAGCTCACACACACTGCTCATCCCAGTGCCTTGAGCCAGAGGGAGCATCTGTGTGTGCTTCAGGGAGCAGAGGAAAAGTCTCCTGGTTCCCACCTTGTGCCCCAGCCCAGATCTGCACGTGGAGCTCTCAAGCAGATCCACCCCTGCTTTGGTGAATTCCACCCTGATCACGGAATCCCAGAATGGTTTGGGTTAGAAAGGACCTTTAAGATCATCAAATTCCAAACCCCCTGCCATGGGCAGGGATTTCCACAGTGAGGTATCTACTGCAAGGTTTCAATTCTGAGTGGAGGAAGCTGAGAAACATCCCCTAAAGCCACTGGTCTGTTCATCTGGTACCAGCCCAGCTTCCCTTTGTTCTGTATTCAGAACAAATC